GTTCCTTAGACACGTTGCAGAAGATAGATTCAGAACCTTGACTTTAATTGTAACACGTAACCACATGTTTTCTTCCAGAAGTGTATGTTCAGAACCTGATGAGGTCACACGCCTTGTACTAGAGTCAAAATATTATAGCAGCAGTTATACATTAGAATGAAACCATTAGTGTATATAATTGTTATCTAAGATAATATGTAAAGTTATCATCAAAATCCCAAGGCCAAATGTAGCAACACTTCTTGTTCTTACACCACTTGACACAAATCTCAGCCTAAAAGGACACTTAACTTTCATACTATAAATACCCTCTGGAGAATTTTTGCTTTCAAGTGTATTCTTCCTTTTGTAATTTCCTCCTCTTTCACAACTCATAATCAATTTATCTCTCCTCCCTCGCATCCCAATTGTGGTATCAGAAGAAACATTGACAACAAAATACTATGTTGTTTACCAATAGATTGTGTCTATGTTAATACTTTGGCTCAAGGGGAAAATATATGTCATTTACAACATATAAAGAAAAGCTATCCATATCATAGAGACGAAAAAACCTTTTAATTTTGAAAATGTTAAAAATAAAACATACAACGCTAGTGGTGAAGAACTCCATATAATTTGTACAGGAATCTGTAGATGAGCCTTCTAATCTTGGACCTCACAAGTAAAGCAGTATTCAGTACTACCATAATTTTTGAATGTTCACTACTACAAATAACGCTTCTAACATCGAACACGAAAAGTGTTTTACCTCGGGGGTAGATGCGATGTAAATAAGGTCGTCATAAAAGTAAAGACTTATCACCTTGGTCTTTAAAACACTGAGGTACAAGTTATTAGCGCATGGGTTCGAACCCCACAAGCAGCAAATTATATTATTTCTAAAACTAGCATATCTTTTATCTCGTTTTATTAAATAACTGAGGGGTATGATTATTTATTTTTTTTATAAAAAGTATTACATTGTTTACCTATAATATTACATTGTTTGTATATAATATTAAAATTAAAATTAAAATCAAATTCCCTAGGCATCTAGCTGAAAATCAAATTCCCATAAGACCTAGATTTCATATCTTCAAATTATTGAATCTAGGTGAAGATCAAATGTTGGGTGCAAGATTATTCTCTACGGATCTTGCATGCATTTGTTTCTGGTGGAAAAAAAAGTGGTCATATAATTAATATCAAAAATCAAAAATATTTTTGATAAAAATAAAAATTTAATAAAACAAACCTTGAACCCATATGATTTTCTGCTCTTGCAATCCATCATAGAGAACTTTTCTACTCTTGCATCCTTAGGTTTCAAGCGCTTCATATGTTTCATTTAAATTTCCAATATAAAGAACTTATATAATAGATGTCCCTTAGGTTTCACGTGGATCACTAATGACAGATTATTGAGCGTTGATAACCTTTAAATGGACGACAAAGATTTGATTAAGACCATTGAAAAAAGTGAAAAATAACACTTAATTATCCTCTCGGTTTCAGAATAAAACCGAGGGGTTAGATTTTTTTTTTACAAAAATAGTACATTGTTTACCCAAAATATTAAAAATCCATTGTATGCAACAAATCTTCGCGGAATATAAAAAATACAGTATGTCCAGGTCCCACACAAGATGCTAGAGATCTGTTTAGCTGATATCCATCTTCTGAAAAATTAAGCTCCCTTCTATATTTTAACTTTCAAAGGTTGAGCTCCCTTCTTTGTGTAAATTGAAGAAAGAATGATTTTCTGCACTTGCAATCTATCAAATACAATAACAATATTTCTCCAACAAAAAAAAACGCAACACCAATTTTGTGAGTATAGGGCATAAAGAATGTTTGTGAATAATGATGTGAGTCGGGCGGCTTCATATGAACACGAATTAAGATAAAATCTAACGATTACTTTTATAGTAAATCTGACTACTGTACCCCTCGATTTAAATTTTAAAACCAGCGTGGTGATTTCTATCCCCTCGCTTATTTTTAAAAATTGGTGATAATTATTATCATTTTTTAGTATTACATTGTTTATAATATTAAAATAAACTGTTTACAAAAAATCTCTTCAATGGTTTTTCTGCACTTGCAATCCATCATAACTTTGCATCTAATATTGATTGTTGATGCTTGAATGTCAGAACTTTGCATACAAGATTGATTGTTGATGTTATCATTATCACTGCATTCACTAGCGTATACAATGTGCAAACGTTGAATGCATCCAACTTCTAATAAAGTGTTTCTCTCAAAAAAATGGAAAATATTTTTTCTGCACTTGCAATTCATCAGTAAAACTTTTAAGAATAACAACAACAACAACAAATTTTAGAAATAACAAAAACAACAACAATAACTACATCAACACCATTGTTTGAGATGGATTGCAAAAGCTGAAAAATGTTTTGTTCAAGGTAGAAGGACATTTTTTTCCAGATTTGCAATCCATCACAAATAAAATGATGCATTCGACGGTGGGGCAACTACAAATAATATAGCAATAGGGTGTAATATGTTCAACGAGTGTTTTATAGTAAAATCTGATTAATTTATCCATCAGGTTATCAAAAAACCCGAAGGATTAGATCTTTATTTTACCCTTGTAAGAAAATGAAAACATAAAGTGCAATAGCTGAGATTCAAAGCATGTCGGGAAGGATATAACACCTCGGTTTTTTTAGATAACCGAGTGAACAAGTTATTTTTTTAACAAAAATAAATAAAACGACGCGCTTTGGAATAAAACCTCGATTTTTTTCTGGATGACGTGAAAGCTTCGTCATGAAAAACGTTATTTGTAGTAGTGGTTGGCGAAATTTCCGGTATATTATACTTATGGAAATATCCGGTAATTTTAGATGTTTACAGGATTTTTTCAAAATTTTCGATAATTTTTTGTTTTTTCAAACAATTACCAGACAACTAACGTGGGGTTGGCAGGTTAAATTTTTCTTGAGCTGTCAAAATGGGCTACCTTGTCCTAAACGGACTGGCCGTGACGGGCCTGGGGTTTTTTTGGATGGGGTAAAAATGCCCTATTGTAATATGGGCTTCAAAACTACTACCCGAGCCCGACCCTAGATGGGCTTCGGGCTACCCGACCCTAAACAGGTTTTTTTAATAAAAAATTAAAATAAAAAATCCATAATATTTATTATAAATAAATAAAAAATTATATTATTTTAAACCTAATATATTTTTAATTACTATATTATCTTTTATAAATACTATAATGTGTTTTTAAAAACAATACATATCTAAATTATAGAAAATAATACTCAAATATTTAACATAAGAGAAACTAATAGAATACAAGAAAAAATATTGATTATATTAATGTATAATATTTAAAAGAAAAAGATTGAATAGAATAGAGACAAAATTTAGTGAAGTGAGAAAAATCAATATATTATTTTAGAGTAACTTAATATAAGAATTAATATAATGGACTACCCCGGCCCATGCGGGCTAACCCTAATGGGTAGCGGGTATTTTAGGACTGGGCTAAAAAAACCTTAAAAATATAGACTCTAATTTTAAAGCTAAGTCCTATGATTTTGCGGACCGACCCATATGGACTAGCCCATTTTGACAACTCTACTTGTTTCCTCACCTCAATTTACTAAGTTTGTTTTTATATTGGACCGATTGATTTAGATTTAGAAAATAGATTTTTTAATATTTTTATAAAAATGTTTTTAAAATATTATAAATTTTTCAAAATTTGTTTTTTATAAATAAAAATTTTAATTTTAATATCTTATAACATAAATATATATTATTGAAGATTAAAATATAATTAAAATTATAATATTTTTAAAAAAAATATCTTTAATATGATTTTTATGAAAACTATTTAAAACAATTTTAAATTTATATGATTTTTTGAAATTTTGATATTCAAAAAAATTTATTTCAAAAGAATAAAATATTTAAAATAAAATTTTAAAAATAATTATTTAAAAGTTAAAAAAATATTTATAAACTTATTTTCAAACAAAAATATATTACATTATAAAAATTATTTTAAAAAAACGAAAACCTACATGCTATTTTTTCAGATATAAAATAAGTTGAGATTTTTTCTTAATTCTGATCATTTTCAATTATTGTTATTCAGATAGAGAATAATTGAGTATCAATAAAATTCGGAAAAAAATTTCAACATTACTTTCTTTTCTTTGTTGCACTTTAACCTATAAACGTCTATCATTTCATGTTTGTGAATGAATTGTTTGAGGTTCATTAGATTTTACAATATCTATAAAGTTTGAAGGGGGGATTTTCTTTGGTTAACAAGATAGACTATCCATATATTTGACATATGTTGTTCGTGTATTTTTGGCCACAAAGATATTTTTTTTTAGATTGGAAGTGAAACGTGGGTACATTTTGTAAGATTTAATTGTAAGATCCAGATTTTTAAACGTGAAAGTGATTTTTTTAGGCTTTGTTTAAATTAATAGGGTGGAATAGAATGATATAGAATTGAATGAATTTTTTTTATTATTTGAATTAGTTAAAACGAGACGAATGAGAGCGGAGTGGAGTAATATTCATTTTATTCTATTTCATCGCTTTCTATCATTTCTTTAACCTCTAAATTAACTGGAATGAAAAAATAATTTTCTTATGTTTAAAATATATTCAAAATAATAAAATGAAAATTTTAATACAGTCCGTTTCATTATTTTTTTCCATTCTGCTATGTTTGTTTTGGAATCTTCAATCATAGCATTCGATCATACCGAGTAATTATTTTTTTTAATTTGACGTTAAAGTGAGCAACTTAATTAGATCGTAAAAAATTAAACTTTTTATAAAAAAAGTTAATCATCAATACTATATACACATGTATAACAGCTCATGTTCATGCTCGTGTAGTTGTAACTGTTCATACAATCCCAATCCCTTATATTTTAGAGGCAATGGAACTGTAAGAAATGAGAGGAACTGCAAACACAGTCACTAAGCAGTTTCTTTTATAATCTTAAAAAAAAAAGTTAAGAAGCGATTGATGCTAGAGTATTACTGGGTAAAAAGATTTTCCATAAACCATAAGCTGCTAAGCTTACACTTACACTTACACATATACTTGCAGTTGAAAAAATAAAATAAAATAAAATATACTTTGATTTTTTTTTATCTGTTTGCTTTGAACTGTGTATGCATTTGGAGTTCAAGGAGTGTTGGGGTAATACTATCAGATAACTGATAAACTTAGGAATACAACTGAAAGCTTTTTTTTTAAGGGAAGAAGGAAGCTGATCTGCGTGCATTGGAAGCTTCGACGATACCAGGAAGCTGATCAATGGCGGAAGATGCATCAATGATCAAACAAGAGGAATGCAACAAATATTTAAGCTTGAGAAAAAGTGTGGTGCAAGGAAATCGGAGTTTGAAGTGTTACCTTCAAAGGATGGTTATCATAGAATTACGCTTCCTCTTGCGCCTCCTCGCATTCCTCAAAATTCGCTCGGCTTCTTCCTCTTCTTCCTTGCTCAAATTTCCAAACAAGTCTTCTCCATGGAAACACATATTTAATTAGAGTATATTGACGAGTATATGAAAAGTCAATATTACTGTTTAACAATATGTAACAGACGCAGCACACACACAAGTAGAATCTCTGTATTTGGTAATAATTACAGAAATTAGCAGAATGCAGTTCTATTATCTATGTCTCTAAGAACTAAGCTGTTGGAAAATAAGTAGAAGAAAGCTCAGAGATAATGACTTCTACAGATCAAACATGCCCTTTTTTCTATGACTCTTTTTCTTATGCCCTTTACAGACAAAATCAGCCATCATTTGGTTAGGGAGTCTCTTCCTTGCACTCCTCCTCAATGCTGCCTGTCCATCTTTTGCAACCAACTTAGTTCCCTCCATTTGGCTGACGCGAATTGCCTCATTTGTAATTTTTGGTTTGTTGTTCCCCTTCCCCTTTGCTGCTACTGGTGTCATCATAATATACTAAATAACTACTGTTTTCCATAACCCAAAACTGCATCTAGAAATTGAATTCATCCCTTATACTGCTATGTTCACCGATCACTGTGATTAAAATCCAATTTCAAACTATACGATTTATACATTATGAAATTCATTTGCACTATATTTTGGAAAATACGAGCTAAGAAGACAATATAAGCATTAAGACTCCACATTTGTATGTGTCTGTGCATACATAGGCATTAAGGAACCAAAAGAAAGTCTTGTTATAGTTCTGCTAATTACCTGCGTTTAGTTCAATCGCGCAGGAAAATTTTCCATCAGTCTCCTCGTCAGATTCAATGACAATTGCACAGTTTCTTGCTCCCCTTATCTGTCATTTAAAGTTTCAAACAGTCTTCGTCATTGGCAATAGATAAAGCGTGTATGAGACTTCTCAAACTGATAAGCACAGCCTGAACAGGTCTTTTGCATGAAAATAAAATGACAAATATCACTGGCAAGTGCTTATCATATCGAGAAGTTATAGGAAGGAAGAACAACACACTAAGATTGATTTAGAAGGCACGTAAATCATTAACGGAAAAGACCAGAATTTTGAAAATACCTTCTCAGTGTATGGTTGAGTTTGCTTTTGCACCTTCTCAGATACTCTATCTGAAAAAGTAACTCTCTCTCTTTTTACTGGCAACCAGCCTCCCGTGTCTACTTTTGAAGCTACAATAGCTGGAGTGTACATCTTTGCTTCACTGGAGTCAAAAGAAAAACACCTGTGACCCTTGGCCATAACAAATACTTTTGCAAGTGAAGACTAATATAACCGGTTGTAAATAAAATGGACTTCCGTAACATAGTAACATAATTAATTGATCAAACTAAACGATGTAATGTAAATGTCCAAGTAGTTTAAAGGAAATGTTAGTGTTATAAAAGGAGATACACTTACTTAGCCGGACGCTGATGCATTTTTGGTGTGATAAATTGTTTGCTAACACACTGCAAGCTGACAATATATCAGGAAACAACTATGCTTTTCACCACAGGAGTAAATACGGAGCAAGATGGGTGTGTGTGTGTGGAACGAATTAATGTTCTTTCATCACAAAAATCAGATCAGGAAAGTATGTTAATGGTTTATTATTAGAGATACAGCACCTTTGGAGACAGAATAGACTGTGCCAGATCCTTTTGGTTAGTATGTTTTAAACTGCGAGAGATTTCCTGCAAATACGCGTGCATAAAGCATCAGTTTGTTGATAGCCATCTAGGACACTAAGACATAAGCGAGAAGGAAAAGAAAGAAAGCTAAATGGAAAATTCAAAGGCATTGTACTCTGTAGCAAAAAATAAAATAAAAGGGGTTTTAAGCAATCTTTACATTGATTATCTGTAATCTTATAAAAAATTGATGTTTATTATGTGTGCCGTGTGCATATTTTAATAATGATTCAAATCCACATCTTACGTGCCTGCATTTCCTTGGTGGTGTTCTGGATATCATTTTGCAAATTTTTCAGAGAGCCTTCAATTAGCTGAGGCATGGCTGAAACCAACATATATGCTTCCTGTAACTTCTCTATGTTTGTAACGTGGCTCATTTGTTCAGAGAAAGATTTCAAGCTCTCATTAATGCTTGCTTTAATTTCTTCTTGTCCTTTCATCTGATTTAAAACCATTGTCTCTCAGTCTATTGAACTTCAAATATTCACAGACGTTAGAGAAATCATGCAAGTCAAAATAAGCTAGTTACCATTAACTGAAGCGAGTTATCTTGAGCAATCAGCTTCTGTCTTATGCACTCCACTGAAATGCAAAGCAAGGAGTTCAAATTGTATACTAGTTTCAAAAAGTAATTTGTTAAAGACCAAGCCACAAAATATGAACAGAACATTATAAATTTAAAAATTGATGCAATGTAAGAATTCGAAGTACAAAAATGAGCCAGCCGTTGGTAGAACTGTTTCAAAGAATAAACAATATTTTGGAAAATTCATCATTGGTAGAAAATCAAACGAATCGACAGCCATACAAAATTTAGTAGAATGTCCTGAAAAAAGTGATGACGCGAATTCAAATTGTCAATGAAGAATGAATGCAAGAACTAGTTTTATTTTCTTCCAGAGAGTCTTCCAAATATTAAGGACTTATGTTGATTGGTATAAATACAACTTACATAAATTATTTTCAGAAAATTGTCAATCTTAGAATGTAAGTCACTTACTCTCCAAATTAATTTCCTTTGTTCCTTTGTTAACTTGCATTACATCACTTTGAACAGAATCCATGATCATTGCAAACCTGCTCAATGAGGTTTCCATTATGCCAATTCGGGTTTCGAGTCCTTCACTTAACTGATCTGTGGAGCAAACAGAAGATTTATAACCTTTAGTAAATAAGAAACCACTTAATTGATTGACTTCCTACTTCTGCATAGATCCAAGATCATTCGATACGTCTAATGCGGATACTAAAATTACAAGCTACAGAAACAAAACTACTACTTCAATGAAATACTCACTTTTATTATCTACAGAGTTCCATTTCACCAGGAGATTGGATGAAGATCTTGAGTTGTGTGGTTGACTCTCGTCCTTCGGAAAAGCAAGTCGAGGCAAACTAGAAAACCTCCTTGAAGAGTTCTCATGTTCTTGAGAACCAGCTCTCTGTATGGTTTAAAAAATCATAATAAAACTTCATAACGGAATCGTGATAAGATTATCGTAATAACTTCTAAACCTAAAGATAGCACACAGGGCTAAAACACGAGACATTGTGCAAAAACAATCATGATAACATTTTCATAATATTTCCTTTTTCACATACTTGTTAAGAAATTCATCAAAACTGAGTCTAAACTCTAAAAGAATTTTCAACTGAACTAAACGAGAAACGGAAATTCCAGCATCAGGATCGTTTAGGTTTAACCTGATCATTTGCTGTGATAGCTTCGTCGAGCGAGCTTTGCGAGAAATGAGACATAATTCCTTGCTGAGATGACAATCCCTGAGAAAACGACTGCTGAGACGGTTGCGATCGATGCTGCGACGCTTGCAGTCCATTGGATACATTGTTCGGCCTCCTATCACATTTAAAAACCATAAATATTCATCCAGATATAGAAATATAAAACTCCACACACTCAATCGAAGCGTGAATGTGAAACTATGCATAATTCGATTAAATCACAATTCATCGTAGCAGTGAACTGAACTGAACTGAACTAAACTGAACTTCATTTCTAGATCTAATAATTTCACATGATCTAAATTCAGTGAATCTGAGAAATAAGAAGCTAACAAATCAGCTAAAATTATCTTCAAAATTCGAATCTAGAATTTCTTATATCTCGATCCATGGCGAATCGGAGAAAGTTAAAATGAAAGTTAAGAGAGTTTTGAAAGGGATAGTGATGTGACCGGAGAAGGAAGTAACCTTGAATAGATGTGAGGAGGAGGGAAGACGGAGATTGAGGAGAGATCGGCGGCTTTGTTGATCTTCATTTTCATTTCAGATCTGTGTTTTGTGAGTTCGTTGTTGCGAGAATGTGTAGAAACGGTTGGTTATGAGAGAGAGATAGTGGGAATGGGATTGGATTTGGAAGCGGTTTGAGAACAAGGAAGAAGGGATGGAAGTAGCGAGTTGAAAACACGCGGGAATAGAATAGGAATTTAAACGTTAGAGAGAGTAGATGAGCCTGTTTCTTGTGGGTTTAACGGTTTTAAACAAAGATGGGCCGTGTCTTGGGCCACTACTTTTTCCAGATTTTGTTCTCGCACCCTTAAAATGTTTACCCCGCACCCCCTCCAAAATAAATTTTTTATTATAATACCTTTTGCTTTGGCCTAGAAAAAGTAAGAATCACATAAATTTTCGGACATTTGACAAAATCTGTGCAAATTACCGGATTTTTCCAAAATTTTACCGGATTTTTACATGTCACAATTTCTCGTTAGATTTTTTGAATTTTTATCGGAAATTTAAGTCTTTTAACCGAATTTTAAGGAAATCATGAATTTTTAGGCTATTTATAAAATGTTTGATAAAAACTCATAATTTACATGCATTATATTAGAGTATTTGAAAAATGATCAATAAAACAACAAGTATTTTTATCGACATTTTTGAAATGTTTGACAAAAATTCATAAATGCGTACTGTATATTTCAAAAATTTTGGTAATGAGGTTGTTGTTGGTAATTAGATTTTCCCAAATTTTCAGTAAAGTCATGTTCTTTTTTGGATTTTTTTTAAAAATCGATAGTTCATATTTCTTTGTTTTTTAATCGGTAGTGAGGATCAGAGGACTGACGACATGATTGCTTCTAGACAGAGATGATAGAGCAACTGGAGAGGCGTTTGTTCAAGCTAACATGGAGGTGAGGCTCAGATTGAGACAGACATGATATCTCAGACTGATACAGAGTCATTTGTACACAAAGATGAGGCTTTCTTGGAGGGCTTACTGATTGTACCTTTCTCACTGTGTATGCTGATCATGCGACATTTAGAATATGGTAGAGAGATGAACAAATATTTTATTTTAAGTATTTTTTATTTATTATTGGTTAATTTAAAATAATTAATGATTTTTACCAGTGTATGAAAAACCGAACCCAATCGGGTGGTCAGACTGGATGAACTGAAAACTAGAGGGATCACCGATCTTGTCTAATTGTTAGATTGAATATACTATTGAATCAGTGGGAATCGACCAAAACCGGTCAAAATTGGTAAAAACTGGTGAATCGACAGTTTTGAATAACTAACATGTTAAATGCATGTTTATTTCCTTGAACAAAACAAATTCGTTTTGATAATATTTAAAAAATATATAATTAAACTTTATTCAAAACTTATTTCGAATAACTTTATCTTGTTTGCATTTAGGATTTGTTTGGTAAAATAGCGGTTGACTGATAAGCTAGTTGATAGTTTATAGCTTATAACTGATAGCTTATAGCTTATAGTTGATAGTTGAGACTGCTAGCTAATAAGCTAATTAAAATATTTGGTAAAATTAGCGGTTCATTTGACATTGTGATTGTGTTGGACAGTGGGACTGGTTTAAGTTTTAATAGATGCAGGATATTCTAGGAATATTATGCTATCTTATGTGGCGCTGAATTTAAGGCCTAGAAGATTCAAGTTGAATTCAAGAAGAATGCTTACTTTCTAATTAAGGAGATATTTTAGGAAAGTTATAATTGAAGACCTATTTTTATACAGAAGTTTCTGCAAAATTATAGCAGTTGATCTGCTGCATTTTGAAGCTCAAATCCAGTCCAGAGAAAAATTATAAATTGAAGATTATTAACCTAAAGGAGGTACGAGTCAAGTATGTAAAAGTATCATATATTGGGGCTTCGTCTGTGAGCCACTCTCTAGAATAGTTGGTTTGTGTTATTTGTGAGCCTCTCTAATATCATGTCGATAGAAGAGTACGACTATTGTTAGTTGAGTTGTAACTATGAATCACTCATGAGCTTTTAAGTATAAAGTTAATTATTGTTCTTGGAGGAAGCTTGTAAGCAACTCTAAGTATTCTTCTTAGTCAAGAGTCTTGTCTAAGTATTATTTGTTGAAGTGTGTCTACTTCTTGATTGTCAATCACTCTTAAACTTTTAAGTATAGAGTGATTGTATGTTTGTGAAGTTTGTTTTCTAATTCGTTTGAATTGTGTTCTTGTCATTGTTTGTGACTGTCAAGGAATTGAGATGGGTCTCATATCTAGGTGAGTCTTAGGTAGAAATTAAGCACGGGTATTGATTAAGTGAGAAGTTGTAAATGAGGGAGTTTAACTTTGAATTGATACCATTTAGTGGATTTCGTTCCTGACTTGGTAGCCTCCAGAGTAGGTGTTGTTGTACACCAAACTAGGTTAACAATTATGCATGTTGTTTACCTATTGCACTATTAATTTTGTTATATTTGTTCATTGTGTTGAAGTTAGATTACAGTGTCTCGACATCTCTTAGGACATATGTGATCTAAATACTAGATTTTTCATAAGCTATAAGCTAGCAAAATAAGTTATAAGCTTGTGATCAAAAGACCGTTATCAAACATGTCTAAAATGTTATATGGCCTTATAATTTATAAGACAGAAGCTCATAGATTGGTCTTACCAAATAGAACGTTAGAAATGGTTCAAATTTTTTTTTTTGATAATGGTTTAAAATTTATTTAAATTTGTAATTTGTATTATTTTATTTGTGTGATGGTTATATTTAGAATTTAAATTTAAAGAATGAACATGTGAAATTATGATATTTTGAAATTTTGTAGGTGTCGTGATATTTTTTATAAACCAGATCATCTGGTTCGACCGATATATATATATATATATATATATATATATATATATATATATATATATATATATATATATATATATATATATATATATATATATATATATATATATATATATATATATATATATATATATATATATATATATATATATATATATATATATATATATATATATATATATATATATATATATATATATATATATATAATATATATATATATATATATATATATATATATATATATATATATATATATATACTTTTGTTATATAGATCATTTTATTCAACCGAGTTATTCGATTTAATTCGATTTAGTCATGTGATTCGATCAATGACTTAGTGGTTAGACCAATGAATCAGTGTCCCAGTATCCTCATCGGCATGGGAGGTTTTATATTCCAACGAGCCCGGGCACACGCCTGAGCTCAACTCCTATTTTCTTTGTATTCCACCAACTTAATAGTAAATTTTTAGACAAAACCCGGAGTAAAATTAGTAAAAGCAGGGTGTGAAATTATATATTATGTCACATGTAACTTGCGGTTAAATTTTTGTCCAGAATGCCTAAAACTCATGGATCCGCCACTACTCACCGGCTTGATGACTGGTCCAATTTTTAAAATATTGGTTTATACTTTAATTGTTGCATCCATCTCGATCAGAATTTTTGTTTTGTATCGGTGATATGTGTTCCACATGGCTTTTAAATCTTCAGTTGTCTTCAGCTCAAATTTATTGAACCTAATTTTTCCTTCATTGTCGATTGATGGTGAACGATAGTCAATCTTAACCACTTTTCAGTTGTCCATATGGTGCACGAGATTACCTAGTTTGAATTTTAGAACATCAAAAGGGGTATTCTTTATGAGCCTAAAATTAACAGGATGTTTCACGTCGTTGAAGTACACAAACGCGAGATACTAATAATGACACATTATGAGATGTTTTGTAAACAACATATGATGCTTATTTATACAAGTTGTCATACCCCAAATTTTTCCGCCCTTTATTTCTACAGTAAAAAATACTTTAAACATTATTTTTATAATATTATTTGATTTTTATAAAATATTCGCTTTCAAACCTATTTAAAAATATAATGATTTATTTCAGATCATTTATATTTTTGAATAAATAAATATTTGCACATCTTCATATACTTTCAATTGAATTTAATTACAAATGAGTAACATAGCATAATTGATAAAGAATGAAATTTGCAATCATAAAGTTGTGAGTTCAAATCTATTGTTTTGACATTTTTTTTAATTATTTCTTTTTGTTACTAATTTTCTTTCCCTTTTTAGAAATTGGGTTCGGGTTTTTTATACATTTTGGGCTAACTTAATTGTTAAGTATTCTTAACTTAATCCTAAACCTATAAATAGGACTTTAGTTTGTCCTAATTTTTCATCCAAAAAAACTAATAATTTCACACACATACACAATTCATCAACAATTCACCTTCAAAAAATTATTTGTTAGTAAAACTAACAATCGTCTATTTAGGGAAAGTACTTTGTTTTGTAAAAAAAGAATTTCACTTTTCTTTTCTCAGGTGTAATAATATTACTTATCATCACTATCACCTTTGTTTTTGCCAAATCCATCACTAACTTCTACATACTCACTCCATAAACCACCCTTTAATCACTCACTATACAAAGAAATCTTTCTTCTTAGTCAGAACCATGCAAAATTTCGTGCACAAAATGTACACACTTATAAGTCAAAGCCTTTTGCCTCTTTAGTTCTCCCATGTTACTGCCAAAAAAAATCTCTCATAAACGTTAAACCTTCAAGATCTAGCAATACACCTCAACACCCACTTTATATATTTGTTCTTTAATTCACAATTACTCACTAAAATGCTCCAAGTATATTTTTAGAGTAACTTCACAAACTAGTCCCTTTCCAGCATTGATTTACCTTACTCAAGCTCTGTTTTCAATTTCACTATTAACAATAACAACATACAACAGTAACAACTCATTTTTCACAGTTGAGCTGAAATATCACCAAATCTCTCACGGTCTGTCAACAACAAGAACCCAAATTTCATCTCTGATCCGTGACAAAATCATTCCGCTATCACTGTTTGGATTTTTGTTCATCTTTGTGTTGGCATTGTTTTGGTTATACCTTTTTGTTCAGGTTCAGAGCTTGATTTGGTAGCGATTAATATCCGA